ATGGTTGAAAATCCTTATTATTTAGCAGAGGTGAAGGGGCGACTAACTAGTGTGACATAACTAGTGTGAAGACTGTAAACAATTATTTTTGTACCGTGATGATCTTCTAAGCGTACGTGCTATTTTATTCAAACCCTGGTTGTGAAATAATTATAAGTGCATTTTATTTATGTTCTTCCTCAACCTGGGAAGATGTTCTAATCAGATTTTTCAAAAGTCTCCCACAAAAATTTTCTTCTGATGATTTTAAGCATGCGACTTCACGTTTCATCGTCGTTTTAGACTTTGAAGGCCTATTGTCCTCCAGTACTCGTGCCTGCGCCTCTCAGGATCATAATTTGATCAAACTTCCCAAGTTTTCTCAGGTAACAAGTTGAGTTTTGCTGTCCAGCTTAGACTGTTCTGTGATATTTGGTCTTCCAGTGATCTACTCCACTTTTCCGCGCGCATTGTAGACCGAACCCGAAAGAGGAATAACTAGTCGCGATTCCTTTCCACGAAAAATCCGTTTGCTTCAGAAGTCCATAACTGGCATGATCTTTACTTTTGTTTAGCTATTGAATGTTGAATCATCTCCCACCTGCCCTAAAATATTTTTAAATTAACTTTTTGATATTTTTAGCCTGACATAACTTCTCCCAATACTTTTAGTTTATAGACCTCGGAAGGACCGCCTTCACAAAAGGAGGTTGATAACATCTTAGTTGAAAGAAGATTTCCAGGCCGAACGACCTGCTTATTAGACAGATTTTCCCTCTTCCCATTTCTTTTTTCTTTCCTCTGCTGACACAAGAAGGAGTATTAAGCATCTCACTAGCCAACAAAATATACTGCCGCAGGATGAAGCCATTTTAGACTCACTAAAAAAAGCTTCCATTCTTGCTCCAATCTTTCTTCAAACGGAAATTTACCAGGTGTCTTTCCGTCCGTGTCCGTGGCAGTATTAGAGAAACACTTTAGAAAGTTCCGTTAATAAACAGCTTTCAGGCCGGATGCCATTCCTTCTTATGTTCTGTCCTGCTCAGGTAACATGTAGTTAATTTTTGAACTTGGCGATTAGAAGGCTGTCTTGAGTATTTTAGATGATGTCCTTCAGCTTTGTTGGAATAACCGTCAGTTAGCAGTCGGCAGGTTAAATGTACTCACTGAACAGTACCCGCCTGCATATGAAACCAGGCTCAGTACAATGTCAGTCAGTCAGTATATTTGGAGTAAACGACAGAAGCCCTGAAAACTCCATTTAAACGGTACAGATGTGATAAATTTCGCATGCAACTCTAGTGTGCAGAACGTATAAATCTCATAGTGAACATAAATGTAAAAAAGGTATGTTATTTGTGAAATAATTGCGGAAAAATTGTTCGTTGCATTCGCACTGTTATAATTTTCATATGGATAAAGTTTAATGCACAAAAACGATCTGTTGAAATAATGTTGTTAATAGTCATTTCAATAATCCGCTGGATCGGGCTTCGGCAGTTCGGGTTGCCTTTTAGCAGGTTATGCATCTTGAACACACTCACGGTAGGGGAATCAACAACATATGTACGTCGGCTGAAAATTCCACTGAAGAATAATTCTCTGTAAAAAAAGGAGGAACGTAGATTTGAGTGGCACAGTTCCTTTTTAAGCTGGTAATCATGTCGTCTGAGGTTAGACTTTAGACAGGTCTGCTCTTGCGCCGTCAACAGCCGGGAAGGCTTCTCTGGTGTCCTCTAGATTCAGTTTAGTTTATTTACAAGCCACATTGTTAAATGCAGATTCATGACGTTATATGAACGGCCATATCAAGGTATTAAAAAATCTCACAGTTATAAACTTTTTAAAAACCGAATTATATCCCCCCATCGAGTATAAAATAGAAAGAAGACGTAATTGGCTGACAAATAATTGGAAGATTTAATATTTGTATGCATTTTTTCATGAAATATAATTGAAATTTAAGGACCTCGAAAATCAATGAGAAAATTGCCTGTTACTTAAGTAGTCCTTTTTTGCAAAGTATAGTCCTTACATGCAGTCGGAAATAAGTTCATTCGAAAGCCGATACCCTGCGGTGACCGGATCATCACAGAGTTATGCCGTATGATAATTTGTTTTACAACCCTTCTTACTTAATCTTTTCGAAACGAGAACGCATTTCAAAATTTCGGTTGACATTTCATGATTTAGATCACTTACTGTACGTCCGCAAACAATTCCATTGGCGAGTGACCCTCTGTAACAAAAAAAGGGGAACGTTGATTTGTGTGGCACCGTTCCTTTTTAAGCTGATTATCATGTCGTATGAGAGTAGTCTGGGTGCCATTTCAAAAAAGCTGCTCAATTTACATCCAGATCAAGTCCTCTTAGCAACTGGAACGTTGCTATGAGGTCACCTCTATCCTGCCTGTAGTGGAGGGGATAGGGGTTCAAGGCCGTTAGGCGCTGCTCGTACGTAAAAATTTTGAGGTTATGTATGGCCTTTGTAGCACGTCTTTCTACATTTATAAGGGTATGTATATCCTTCCGAAGCCACGGCTCCCATGTCTTTAGCGATTATTTCAGGTGTGACCGCACAAATGCCCATATTGTTTTTCATGTGGTCCATCCTGCTCTAAGAACTGGATATCGGTTACCGTACATATGCAAGTGCACTTTTCAATCACTCAGCATTCGACACAGTCCCTTGCCATCTCTTTCTCAGCAAAACATCTGAGTGCGGTTCTCCTGATTTGGCTGATTCCTAGCTTAGGAATTATTTTGCCTGCCGCATTCAATTCTGGAAAGCGTACGGTATGCAACCGAACATCGACGTCATTGTAACACCTGCCTACTTAATTTATTTAGGCAGGTATGTTTTGTTAAATGTAGTAATACTCTAACAACGATATTGGTGGCTCTGCTTAGAAGTATTTATGGACAAAGGATTGAAGGTTACGTCTGGGGGTTTAAGGTTGGGTTTGTAGTCTGATGCCAGTGCTAGGGTCTAATTTTAGGGTTATTTTTTAAGGTGACGGTAATGGCAGGCTTAAGGGTTAGGTTTTAGTGTCAGGTACTCAGGTAGGTAAGTTTCATCAAGTGTAGTACGATTGAACCAGCAATATTGCCGCCTGAGTTTCGAGTAACTATTTATGGATTTAGTGTTATGGTTAGTGTAAGGGTTAAGGTTATGGTTCGACGATGGGATTTAGGTCTCAGGCCAAGGCCTAAGTTTAGCGTTAAGCAAAAGTTAGGAGCAAATTTAAAGATTAGCGTTAGGGATTAAGCTTAGGATAAAGGGTCAGGTCAGGGTTATAGATTAAACACTATGTTAAGATCTATGGTTAGGGTCATGGTTTAAGGCTAGTGTTCTGAGGCTAAAGTAAATGTTATGGTTTAAATCAGGGATTGTGGTCGGAGTAAAAGGTTAGGTTTAGGGCTTACTGTTGAGGCTAGGTTATTTTTATAGGGTTAGGACTCAAGTTTAGGATCAAGTCTTTAATTTACAGTTAGGGATTAAGCTTTGGGTGTAGGCTTAGGTTTAGTCTTTTTAAGGCTATCGTTAGTGATAATGCTGGGGTTGGAGTTAGGGCTACGGTTGTTGTTTAAATTCAGTGTTAGTATCAAAGGCTAAGATTGAAGCTAAGGTTTAAAATTTAGAGCTAAGGTTTGCGTTCCGCGGGCCGATATTGTTTTTCGCCATCATTCCGTGGTATAGGGTCTCATCAGCAATTTCAAAGGCTTCAGCTTTAACTATATAATAGAGAATAAACTATCAAGTGGGACTACACCTGCTTGTTAGATGCCCCTTCAGCAAATCGATGTTGTGTCATGCGTATTTCTAACGTCATTTAGATTGTACACCTCGCTGATACGCATCGAGATAGCATACAGTCGTAAAACTAGTGTATCGCCCATAAGGTATGTCTTTTCCTAAAGTAAACCCATAGACCGTGACCTTTTCAGCACATATCAGAGATTGGATCTACAAAAAAACAACCCGAGAGTGCTCGTATTAACAATTACAACTCTGACGCAGTCTAATGGATTAGCTGCGCAAATTCAACTTGTTGGCAACTTTATGACAAGTTTACTTCGTGGCTGTTTGTCTATACCTTTCCTCTCGTGCGTTTGGAGCACTACTGGTGTATTTGAACATGGCGTGGTGGATTATAATATTTTCTAATATTTTATATCGTTAATTGAGGTCTTTCGTGGTGATTTTTTTAGCTCACCCCGTAAAATTCCTAGTTCCACCGTCCCCTTATGCAAGGTGTCATTTGGTCCTAATTTTCGGCTGTATTTGTGCTTTTTTCTTACCCAAGTCTCAAGTCGTGCTAAAGTTGTCCTAAATGAATGTGCACCCAGACGCCTAAAGCGAACGCATAAGGCTTGAGTAAACAAACTCTACGGTCAGTGACCGGTCTCATGATATGCTTTCCGAAATTCTGAAATGCGTTTTTAGTTAAGATGGTTTACTGAAATGGGACTAAGGCTGATTGTCGTTTAACAAAATACGGCAATATTTCAGACGAGTCTCTGCGTCGGCTTTTGAATGAACACCTTCTACGCCACCTGTAAAAACCGCCCTTTGTATAAACGCATGCCACTTAGGTGTTACTGAATGTCTGTTTAGGATTTGCGATCAACTAAGCATTCCAGAGCTAACATCCTTTGTGTGTCTGAAATACCACCGTCATCTCAATTAAGTAATCCTTCCCAATCTAACACGCATTTCAGAATTTTTGGTCACATTTCATCAGATTGGTCACTAACTGTATTGGTACTCACCGTGGAAGTACCCAGCTGTCATGGTGTTACACACTCTCAATGAAAAAATTTAAGGGAGACAGAAATGAAAGCAACATGGATAGTGGATTGGCCGGGAATTTAATTTGAAAAGTGTGTACATCAGTAGTTTATAACACTGGTCGCCGGCAGAACGGAGACTGGCGCGAATCGGGCATCTGCTTGTCCGCATCAATACATTGCTAGAATGGAGGCAGGGACGATGCCAGCCGCCTTCATCTTCCCCAAAACTAGTTGGCCTCGTAGTCCCGGTGTATTTGACAGAGCTTGCAGGGCATGCAGAATGTGCTGACACAGCAGTCCTTTATGAGACTTCCCTGTGTGTGTGTCGTACAGAGAAAACAAAACAGGAGTTATTTCAGGAAAACGAGTAAACACTACAAAGCATGCAGATGAAATAGGCCAGAGCAGGCTGGTGTACCAACCGAGGCTGTCTACTGCAACTTGCTATGATGCGTGAGGTCGTCAACTTGGCCCTCGCTGAGCGTCCCCTGACGTGAACGGGAAGGCCATATTGGAGCACGGCAGCAGTTAGTCGGGATGCGCAGAAACGGTGCAACCCACAAATATAAATGTTAACAAGTTTCTTTCTGGAAGTATTGAGATGCCTCACATGGCCTACATAAGGTTCAGCTTCTTTGGTTGTCGATGTACTATGAGCGCTGCAATCCTCAGGTTGAATTTTAAATTAGCAGGCCAGGGCGTGGGCTGAAAATTTTAAATCATGTCTGAGGGATAGAGCGAGAAAGAAAGACTTTGGCTTGATCCTGTTTAGTAGGTTTGTGGGAGTAAATGGTTTGAATACAGTATCTGTATCATTCCGCAGGAGACACGTACGTCCCCCTGTCAGACTGTCAATACGTCCGTCAACGTCCCCAGAGAAGGTGAGTAATCACTAGGCCGTGGGACCTTGAACAAAGACGAGGGGCGTCGCAATGATTGCCGCCAGCGCGTCTGGAATCGCTAGAGGGATGGGTGAATGACCTCGAGGCATCGAGGTTGTTGAACAAAGACTTCAGTCGTCACTTACAGACTAGCGGGATACTTTCAGTCACCTCTTTTGACCCCAGCTAGTACAGGTTCTGGTTAATTGCGTAAAACTTGCCATTTTCCGAATGCCAATGCCATCTGTACCGCTAGTGAACTCCAACATTATGCTATTCCAAACATGTCGCGCTCACAGATTTCCTCGGAAGTAAAACTGGAGCATTCGTCGCGCCAGTGGCGTCTTCAGAACATACCCAACGTCCGAGAAAAGCAGTCAACACGACAAGCAACTTAGGACTGAGCGAGCTGGGGCTTATTTTCCTTCAGTCCAGCCTGTCATTCTCGTAAAATGATCGAAATGAAGTCCCGCACACCTCGAAACGGCCACCAGCATCGTCATGAGATAGAGACTTCTTTAATCCGTTTTCTACAAGTCTTGCATTCCTATTTTTTCGCACTGCAAAGGACGCATACGTAACCGATCAGTTTCTAGCTGTGGGTCGTCCCAATGACATTTGGTCAACGTGTAGGACCGACCTGATAGAATTTATGACGGTACGGAGCAGTGTGTACGACAGCCAGTGAAAAAATCGTCCCATGTCGCGAATACATGTTTTAAAAGAGACTGACAATTGCACTTAGGACTTTGACCTATGTGGCCGTCGAAATTAAACGAATCGAGGGTTAATTTCAATCAAAAGAGTGAAGGCGAAATTTTGAGTTCCAGGTGTATGCATAAGTGAAGAAAAAGAGTCGAGCACCAGAACACTTTGTTTATTGTCCTGAGCTTTCAGACTCGTACAGGAGTCCATCGTCAGAGGTAGTAGCAGCAACAGAACAAGCGACAGTTATAAGGCATGTAGGCCAATCGCCGACCGATGGCGCAAGTCTGGAGGTGACTAAGATGGGCTCTGTACGCAGGCGCAAGATCGATAAATCGATTTGTCGAGCTTTTGTCCGAGGCCCAGGCGTCAATTAATTCTTGGCCTGTTTTGTTTCCGGCGTGGGCGATTACTTTGTTGGCTGCGAAATTAAACGCATGATCCGCTCCGTAGGTGTGGGCGACCACATGTGATAATGCGTCACCTCGTCGCACAGCCAGATTATGTTCGTGTATGCGCGATCCGAGCATGCGCCCAGTCTGTCCTGTGTAGTTACAAGGACAATTTTGGCACAGAAATCGATAAACTACTCCAGATTGATCTTCAGGCTTTAACCGGTCTTTGATTTTTATGACCCTATTGCGCATGACGGCTTTCAAGTGGTGTGCAATTCCAACACCTGACTCCGCAGCAATGCGCTCGGTCGCTTCCGAAACGCCGTTTATGTATGGCAGAGAATGCCATATCGTCGGTGGCGTTGATGTTCGAGTTCTCTGGTGGCGACCGCGTAGGCAACGACTTATGAATGCCCTCAGATAGCCATTTTGTACAAACTGCTCGCGGAGATAACGGTCCTCACGTGCTCAGTCCTCCGGTTTGCTGCGATGAGTTTGGATCCGTTTGAAGTGCGTCTTCACACAGCTTCGTTTGTAAGCCACCAGATGGTTGCTGTGAAAACTGAGAAACTGTGTGCCCTTCATGGCCTTCCTATAAACCTTCGTTGCAAGTTCACCGTTAAGGTTTCGTCTGACAAGCACATCCAGGAAGGGCAACTGCTGTTCCTGTTCTTCTTCCCTCGTGAATTTTATATCAGGGAAGGTGTTGGTTTATGGACGTGGCTACTTACTTCGGGGGGCAATTCTGTTGAGCAAAAGGAACTGAACACCTAAGAACTTTGTGGTATCACAAATTGTGGTCCTCCATATTGTCACCAATCAAAAGGGGAAACTGTTTTAGACATTTAACGATAACAGTAAACAAAATTTAATGTCCCTTTGCAGGCATCGTCAAAAATGTATAGTCCTGCCGCATTTTGGCCACCCTCAAGCAACAGCCACCACAAGGTCTTTTTATTTCGTTCCAAATAAATACAAATATAATATCAATTATTTTTTTATCTCAAGTGCTACGTGGAGTAAGGAACCCCGGCCATAAACCGTACTCCCGCCGTCTCCCTTTAGGGAAGTCACGGAAAACGCGCTGAATTCTTCCTAAAAACTGCTGTTTTAAAGCAACTGATTAATGCAACATTAATTTGGCCGAACAAGCTTGGAAGAAACATACCTCGATATTTTGCTGGCCTCGATAATGGGCAGTCAAAACGAGGACTGGGTGTGGTATACACAGTGGGGCTCCGCAACACTCATCTTGCAACTTATATTCATAGCAGACCATGCAGGGTAAGCAGAAGGCAGTCAGCACACCTAGAGACGATGGAAAAATTGCAATTGGGCCAGTTTATGACTAAACGTGTTGGAGTATTATTCGACAAACTTCTGGTGAATCTCATATTTGCTGATGACAGAAGCTTGGAGGTACCCTTTATTAGAATCGCGCAGAGCAAGAACACACTAAAAACTATAAATTTCTGCCGAAATTCTTATCGTACACTGTCATTTGGTAAAGATAGTGGGCAAAATAATTAAGAGATAAGCAAAAAAATAATTTTCAAAAAATAACGGACTTTAAACAAAGCGCTGCTGAGAAGTTTTCATTTAGTCAGGAAGGGGAGGAAATTTCCAACAATGAGAACGGTGAATAATGAGTTATGTTCACAGTCGCACTGAATTTTAGGGTATATTTCGAAGTTGCCATCTACTTAGTGGTCCTACGCCCTATCGTGTCCTTATAATTGACATCAGATTAATTCGCCAGAATTCGCCTTCAAATTTTTCAAATTAGACCTGCGTCTTTTGCTACCATTCATTGAACCGAATTCCCAGGTGGTTCATGCTAACTTACGGTGTCATGGAATTGCAGTTATCTGTAATGCTATTGGGAAACTTGAAGATTTAATCTAGTTACCTTACACAACGCCTAGACAAGATGCATTTTCGTGCATCGCTGGGGCGGGATGTTTGGAAGATTTCCACTGAAGAGGCTCTCGCATCCCTCTGCCTGCCTAAGCAGTCCAATACTGCATAATAAAGTGTTACAAAGTAAAACAGTATTTATGAACGCAATCCCAAATTCTCCGTTGTTCTGTCGTGTTGGATAAATGCAAAGCAAATGTGGGTAGCAGGCAGCGATGGTATGGATTTCAAGGATCGTATCGGCACCTGACATGATGTCCGACAGCATTCTGGCATTTTCCTGAGACTGCTTTACCTGCCAATTGCCATAAACCCGAATTTCTCCTACAAAGATTGGCATCATGACATGCTGTGTCACTGATATTTTACGGATACCACGATTTTAGGAAATGTCACTTGTAAAGTCCGTGGAATTTTAGAATGGGATTTATTAATGCATTTATTCCCATCACCTGGTGATTCTCGTCTAGATAACTGCCTACTATTTTTGTGTTAGTTCTGGACACCAGCATGTAAATCAAAAGGGGACGTGTTCTGGTCAAGGAGCTGCCGAACCACGCATACTGCCAACCTAACGGCTAATCTTCTGCCCGGTCTCAGGGGTCGGAGGAGGTTTGCTCGAATTTAATACATGATGCATATTAAACTATGCCGAGGTACGATTGTTCAATAACTCGACGGTTCCCAAATCAGAAGGCAGGGAAGACAGTTAGGTGGACAAACTTTACTAGCACAAATATGTGTGCATACAGCTCAGACAGCGGTTGCGACAACCGAATTGCCCATGTCTGAGCATTGTCTGACCACAGCCAATCAGTAAGTGAGTGTTATTATAGTGCGATTTCTACCGTCATTCTGTGTTCCTACGTCAGCATATCCCCTCAAAATGTCGCTTTCAGAGTCATATAGTAAAGTGCTTCGCAGCGATGAAGCGGCGTCATCATACCTCCCCTGACATGGTCCCTCAGTAGAGGAAAGTAGTGAGACTGGCTTAGTTGGCCCCCTAAACAGTACATGGAAACGGGCACGTTCAACCCTAATAATAAAGGTGGACTTCCGCACAATGCCAGGAAGGGCACAATATTCCCGCGTCTCAACCACAACAATAACCACGGTTCAGAAGATGAAGATGCGATCACTGGGACAAGAAGTTTATTGGCCTGACGTTTCGGGATCTCACTCGAGCCCATCATCAGAGACATTCGCAGATAGAGGTAAAGGTGGCACCAGGAATGCAGTATTTATAGCACGTGGCTGCCGTGGGACCGTATGCGCACTGCAATTAACAGTTCTCACAATCGCCGCTGGGGTCGTAATTGATGCGGCGGTGGCTTGGCGGTCCGAGTCCGCCCAAATCATCCAGCTCCTGAAGTTATGTCTCAAGACGTACTTTACATTCGACGGAACAATCTACGAGCAGGTAAAGGGAACGCCAATGGGTTCGCCGATTTCGGGACTCATAGCCGAGGCGGTCCTTCAACGGCTGGAGTCGCTGGTTTTCCGACACCACAGACCGAAATTCTGGGCTCGGTATGTGGATGACACCTTCGTCGTCATCGAACGGGATCAGGTGCTGACTTTCAAAGAACAACTCAACGCCGTCTTCCCGGACATTCAATTTACGATGGAGGAGGAGGAAAACAATCAGCTGGCCTTCCTGGATGTCCTCGTCTGCCGCAAAGATTGTGGTGGCCTAAAAACCAAAGTGTTCAGGAAAGCGACAAATACGACGCAAATACTGAACTTCAATAGCAACCACCCGATCAGTCACAAACGCAGTTGCGTAAGGGCGCTATACCGGCGTGTTGAGACGCACTGCAGTGAAATGGAAGACAAGGTTGCTGAATTACAATATCTTCGACGGGTAATGAGAGCCAATGGCTACCCGCGCAACTTTGTCAACCAGTGCATACGAAAAGGACACCAGAGACCAAATTCAACTAGCCCCAAATTTTGGCGTGCTCTTCCGTACGTGAAGAACGTCTCGGAAGCCGTCAGTCGTCTTCTCACTCCACTTGGAGTTGGTGTTGCACACAGGCCGGAAGCAACCATTAGGCGCCAAGTAATGAGGCCAAAAGACCCGCTGCCACGGCAGGAAACGTCTGGAGTCGTTTACCGGATCTGGTGTAGTTGCGGACAAAGCAATTATGTCGGAGAAACTGGGAGATTACTCCGTACGCGACTTGCCGAGCACGCAGCAGCAGTGAGGCGAGGAGACGCTAACTCTCAGGTGGCGGCACACTCGACGGGACCCGGCCATAATTTCAAATTTCAAGAGGCCGAAATCCTCGCAAGGGGTGACAACCGCGTGAGCCGCGAGCTGCTCGAGTCATGGTTCTCAGGCCCGCAATCCATCAACAAACACAATGACCTCCCGGTGGCCTATTCCGTATTGCGGTTTTCCCTGGGCAGGAGAATCAGTCACGTGGGGAGGGCGCGGGTGAGTAATTATCACGGTGACAGTGAGCCAGTTTGCCGAGCAATCGTCACACCAGCATCGAGCACGGATGACGAAATCGCGGCAATTAACAACTCGGACTCGGACCGCCAAGCCACCGCCGCATCAATTACGACCCCAGCGGCGATTGTGAGAACTGTTAATTACAGTGCGCATACGGTCCCACGGCAGCCACGTGCTATAAATACTGCATTCCTGGTGCCACCTTTACCTCTATCTGCGAATGTCTCTGATGATGGGCTCGAGTGAGAACCCGAAACGTCAGGCCAATAAACTTCTTGTCCCAGTGATCGCATCTTCATCTTCTGAACTGCTACCTGGGACTCGCCTATTCGCTTCTATCAATAACCACGGTATAAAACTAAACCGTTGCACTAGTCTGGACCCTAACCTTGCCCTAAACCTTAACTTTGCAGTTAATACTAGCCCCTACCTTAAGCCTAAACTTGATTCTGACGTACCTTGCCGTCAACTTTAAATCTAGTCTTAAAACTCATCCTTAACCTAGTCCTAACCCTAATTTAGGTGGATGTTGACTCAAAGCCACCCATACTGCAGACTGTTCCTGTTCTCATGTCCTGTTTAGGGGGCCACGCAAGTCTGTTCTACCGGAAACACCTTGATGTGCAGGAATAAGAAGGCCCGTGAACAGAATATGCCGGCATAGAGGCGCAGAAGAAGGGGTCGCTAGTTTGTTCGGTCAGTAAGACAGGGGGAACAAATTCCTCCATTATTGTGATTTAAAAGAAAGTCTCCGCTGTAATTTGTAGCTTTGAGGCATTTTGGAACTAGCCCATCTTTGGGGTGACAAAAACCCACTTGAAGATTTTATAAAGCTTGCTGCTAGATCCCAAAAAACTGTGGTTCACTGGTTCAGTTCCCGCCGTGGAGCCTGTTTCGAAATGCTATATGTTGTTAGGTGATGAAAGTTAGATGAAACACTGGAAAACTCAATACAAATCGACGAGGACAGACTTGCAGGACGGCGTAAGTACGATCGTGACCGTCTTTTAGGTGGAGATGAAAATTCTGAAGAAAGCGATGGCGATCTAGTACAGAATTGTCGGAACCACGGCTCACGCATTGATAGTTCATGGGCGTTTGGATTGTGTCAGCGCACGATTCAGTCCAGTTCAGTTTTATTAGGGGAATGGTAGGCAAACGCCTTTGAATTCCCTTTTGGTTACAATAACATCATGAAAAGCAATGCGTAGGATAAGTGTCAAGGAAAATCATGTAAGTAATTACATACAAAAAGTATTGATTACTCGTATAAATATGTCTGTGAATGCATGCTGTGTCAAAGTTGTACAATAATCAGTACGCGGTACTGTTGTGTCACAAGTAATATCTAAACAAACGTCTATGCATAGGTCAGAATTCGGGGAAAAAGTCATAGAATAATGCTACTTAAATGTGGGGTTTAGCATGCGTTGAAACGCTAAATTTCAAGAAGGATGGCACAGGGGGGAACATTGTTAGTTTCTGATGACGTAGTGGTACATATCCCTGTACAGGCCAAGGTAATTCTGCATACATAAGCCAGATGCAGTAACTTCGATCCCCATCGCTGAACGTGAGGCAGAAACAGGTTCAACGAAACATTTTGACGAATGGCCACCACATTGGCGATTTAATCAGGCTGGGTACGATCATAAAACCGTAATCACTAGGAAAATTGTGTTGAGCCGAATATAAACTGGCAGACTCAGTAAATTGATAGGACTTAGATAAGCGAAAAAATTGAAATTTTGAAGAAAAATCTCAGATTTTCAAGGCAGCTGCCTCGGGGGCGCCTAGATGAACACTGCTGACGTGCGTTCAAATAAAATGAAGACAACTTCATAGCAATTGAATGCGATATAAACAAGTGCAGTTTGCTTAATTGATAATATGTTATTCCGGTTTCATTTTGCAATAAAGACAACATATTTTGGGCTTGTTTCTAATTTTTCTATTAGGGTATGAATCGCGCTATGGTAGCCCCGAGAGGGATATCTATTGGCCTTCAGGTTCCAACCATCCAAAGACAGTTACACGCCGCCGCGAGCAGTGACCAACAGACGTTTTAAGCAAACCGAAGTCCGTATAGTCAGGTCGCCAAGTAGGGGATGTTGAACATTGATACAAACAACAACTCTTATTGACCGCCACCATGTCTCGTTTTGCTCATCTTGTTCTGTTCCCGTTAGTCAGCGACACTCCAATCCCAGATGGGCGATCTTTGTTGACAAGGCTTTTGCGTCATCGATTGCTTGGTAACAACGTGTCAACTATGGATGCAGACCGGTTAATCAAAGCGTTGAGCGTTCGACAACGAATTTTTTTGGATATTGTTGCGAAACGGATCTAACCAGATTTACAGTATTTCATGAACTGGTAGCCGAAATTCTGAAATGGTTTTTCGATTGGAAAAGACTACTTAAGTAAGGTTGTAACAGTAATTATCTTGCAACACAATCGCAACATATTTCAGTCACTCCAGAATGCCGACGTTTGAATGAACTGCTTTTTGGCGTCTACAAAAACTACGCTCTAGAAGAGTGTCTACTTAAAGAGTACATTTTTTCCCACTGACTTCTATGCTCTCATAAACTTAATTACGACTTGTAGAAAACACAAAATTCTCCCTTGTACTCATTCTATAAAAAAATTGCGTCATAATCGTATGTTTCACTTTAAAGGAGAGCATCTTTTGGTTTAAAAAAATTCCCCAATTCCCAGATAATTTTTAACGCGGCATCCCGTTACACTTGCATTCAGGGTTTCCAAACTACGTGCTGCTTAAATCCCGCCAAAGGAATATCCCGCATTTCGCTGTGCTTTAAGGAATACCTCATATAGCAATCATAAAATTGTGCAATAGATGTAGACCAGGTGTACACTTTATAAGTGGCATTGATAAACGTACCACTGCTATGCTGTATCAGTGGACATTTCATAGTCTATGAAAGTCTCATAATTACAAACTTTTTACAACTGGAAAATACTCTTCCTTTGAGCATAAAATTTGGAAAAGATATACTTGTCTGCTAAATGAGTATAAGAAAAATATTTTCCTGCTCATTATCCATAAAATATAGCTGAGTTTATAAGAGCATCGAAAATCAATGGGAAAAAATATATTACTTTGGTACTCGATTTTTACAGAGAATAGTTTTTCCAGACAGCCATAATAAATCTCATTCAAAAGCCGGCATCCTGAAGAGACTGAAATTTCTTGCGATTATCCTGCACTATTATTAATTTTGCGACTTAACTTGAGTAATCTTATAGATCGAAAAATACATTTTAGAATTTCGACCAAAATTTCATGAAATACCACATCTACTGTACTGCCCGACGGGCAAAGTATTTACCGCCGAGCTGCAATGAGGTTTTAATACCTCGTGCATGTTAAAACGAAATTGAGTGAAACGTTGGTACCGATAGCAGCCTTTACGGACCATCACTACGCCTATTTTAGCATTCTTATACAGTATGTCATAAAGGTGGTGTGCGTCTGCAATGCCATAATATAGCAAACCATAATCCTCGCAACCTGGTTTGCGCTGGCCCCTGGTTCCTAGCTGGTCGATGCGCTTTCGCTTCAGCTAAGTATACAGGTAGTGCGCGTGGCTCCCCAGTCATCCTCGTCGTCTTTCTGAACCGTTGTATTGCTGTTGTTGATGGTTGGAATCCTGGTCAAGTGTTGGCTGTGGACCAGGGGGTGTTGTGGTCCGCATGTGTCAGCTACCTGTCCTCTTTTCCGCCTCCGGTCTTCTTGACTGTGTCCTGACACTGGGCCGAGGTGGGCTGGGAGGTGAGGGTGAGGAAGATGCCGCGCAAGTCTCCTCCCACTAAAAACGAACAAGTCGCAGTGCCTGCTCTCCCCTTGCTGTGAAGCACGCGATGGACATCTTCGGCCGCGACGGCCAAACTGTCATAAAGTAGGTCATTAGCCCTGAATATTGTCTAAATTATAATCGTTTTAATTTGAAGCATTTTGTCCCCAACACGAAGCTGAAGTAGGCAAGTAGGGCAGGATTTGATGGCACCAAAAAAAATCGCGACGGCTCGTCAGCTGCGTCCTGTCGTTTCATTACATAGATAACGGGTGGGAAGAATACAACAGATTTGAATTCGTGCAGAAAACCAATGCAGCAACAGCAAGATCATGATTTTGTGTAAAGCTGGCTAATAGATATAGTTAGTAACTCAAACACCGGATGGGAAGAATAAGGAAAAAAGGGGAAGCGTTAACGAGCAAAAAGCGAGAGAGGAAGGGAAATCATGGAGCTAGAGGCTACCATGGCAAAGTTAGGCTAACCACGTGTTCCAACCATTCACAAAGATCTGGTTTCACCCGTCGTATATAGGCCGCCCCTAGGTAACGCAGTGTCCGAGTTGTTCGTGCCCGAACAAGTACTCGGAAGGAATTTTTGGGGTCGACGGAGTGAGCACTATCAAGCAAGTGTTTCGTAATGGAGGAACGCGGGATTTCATTTTCTTGCCTTAGGAGCCATCTGGGCAGGTGCTCAACAGACCTGGCCGCCAACTGCCTTTGCGTTCGCCCAATGCACTTGCATCCGCAAGTGCATGTGAATTCATAAACACAGTTTGAAGTGGCGTGCATTGGCAAGGCATCCTTTGCCCATGGAATCGGAAGTGGCTTCGTAGGACTGCAAAATACGAGTTCGGCTGCATTGTATGTCCTTTCAAAGGTGGAACGCAGCCCTCGTTTGATAGTATTTAAAATATTGTCAGGCGTTATCTATGTTATGAAGCGACAGGACGCAGCTGACGAGCCGTCGCGAAATTTTTTGGTACCATTAAATCCTGCCCTGCTGGCCTACTTCAAAATCGTTTAAATCAAGCTTTAGTGTACAACCAATCACCCAAGCATAGACCGACGTTGCGAAATTCTCCCTCACAAGCAGAAACGTACTATGCTCATAAGTAGAAGAAATAAAGGCTCAGAAGATTAAAATACGGCAAGCTGTTAGACCTTGAAAAAAAGTGCTTACAATTCTTGACGTCGTTTGTGCAGTCACAAAGGCCGTCCTCCCATTCACGCAAATCCGGTTGCTCAGTTACAGGCATGGGCAGGGCAGGAGGCCTTAGGAAGAGGCTGCGAATCCGATAATGTCTGTCTAAGCTCAAACACGTCTGTCAGCCCCATTTATGGCGCGCAGACAGATCCTCGGCCCAAAATCTACCCACAGGCAACCACCATTGGCCCGATAAGAAACCGTCAATTAGATCTCTGCGAACTAGCGGCCTTTTGGAGGGCTACGATGACTCAACTGTGGGATCTACTTTAGGGTCTTTTTCTAGGCCGTTGTCTTGAAGCACAAGCCCATTCACAATATAGAATTCGCCATCATCAAGGAAGGCAAACGTCAATCAGATCTCTGTGTCCTCTCCATCTTTAGAGAGCCAAAGATGACTCAACTGTGGGTTACAGATGAGCGAAGACATCGGCAATAAGACAAGGCTAAAAGAGCGAAAGTTGCGTGACTTTGAGAGGGGTGAATTGATCGGTAGTGTAAAGGATGGAAATATTGGCATGATCTCTCAGACGGAAGATGTTGATTTAGGAGGTTTTACAATGATATATGAATGTTTTTTTAGCATTGGCCGTCTACTTTGCGTGTAGATCAATATCATAGTAATACTTCCACGAAAGTCGAACCTGAGGAAAACGAAAATTGCACAAATAGTCCATAATACGCCAACCACTCTTATTTGAAATAACCGAAAAAATGGTGACTTTCGCTCTTACCTTGAAAGGCAACTAGTCTGATAAACTAGTCATAAACATAAAACATCATGCTTGTGATTTAGATTTGCAAATCGGATAATTTAACAATAGGCTCCAAAGTGTGGACAAATCTTTGGGCTTTTCGAGCTTTCCGCCAATGAAATAAAAAAGATTAAAGAAAGATATTTCTGCAAGATATCTTACCTGTTCCGAATAAGTATTTCTCTAAATGTGAAGTGATCAACAATCACTTAAGCGGTTTTTATGTCGTTACCAAGGCTACGGTACTTTTAACTCTAAAATAGACTAAATCCGTAAGAGGCTAATCAGTTTCCGCACATTTTGTTTAATCCAGAAATCGATGCTTTGGCAGTTTTGAATAAACCATTTGACCCAGTTGTGAGAAACTTAGCGGCCTAGGTGAGATACGTACCAAAGAAAGCAGAGGCACGTTCTAAACACCCCAGCTACCGAGTTCGCCGAGTTTTTTATAATCTGTTTAGGTAAATTATTCAAATCTGTCCAAAAGCACGATTAGTTAAGTCAGCCTGGTAGTCATCTGGTGGAGTCTGGATTAACTGCTTAGGAAATCCTGCTTTTTCAGTCAGTTTACTGTATCCGAATTGGTGGAATCCATATGTTGGAGTTGAAAGGACGGATAACTTGACCCTAATGTGATCGAACTCACGGCTTCTCTTGGGGCTTTTTAGCTCAGGAAGTTAGTGCACCGGTTATAATCAAGCCTTGTCCTTGCTGTCCAAGTCTCGAATCCCATCAAAGCCGTCGACTTTTCAAAAAACGGATTGAATTACGTTGAAAAGAAAACGACAGACCGACAAGTAATGCCAGTTACGGGCACTTTCTCAACTTATGCGGACTAATTAACAGAAAATCATTTGGATTAGCCTCGGATCCAAATAATTTCGGGACCACGTTCAAAAACCGAACAGACTGGATACATGATGGTTCAATTTTGCTTTCTAAACCTGCTAAGACTTAAAGGACACCTCTATAATTGGTCGCGTCTGATCTTAGCAAACACGGACTGCGTTCAAGATAGTTTTGAGAGGGATAGATCTTATCATAAAGACATGTCTTACGGGCTTCAGAAAACGTGCTATCGACTTGAGTTTGATCTACTGGTTTTGTACGATACCGATACTGCCCATAGCTTATCGGAAATCCCTCCAGGTTTTTGGAGTAATCTGGGCTTTCCGGAAATTCCGGATATGTGGATGGAATGCGTGGCAACGACAACCTCCGTATTGAACTCCCAGACCTTCCTCTAAAGGGGTAGTGACAATAAGTTAACATGTTTTTTTTTTGTTGTCAAACTATATTTTAAAACGATGGAACCACCTATTAGGACATTACATAACAGACTTTGCTTTTCGATTAAATATGAGCAGAGCAACAATTTCTAAACATCCTGCGACAGTTAGTTTTATCGCAGAAACAACTGTATCCCAAAAAACCCCGAATCAAATAGCCGTATATCTGCATAATCTGTCATCAATTCTGTAAAAACCCTCTCAATGGGCTTTGCCCAGTTTTGATGTTATTTTTTAGTAAATAGATAGAAATGTAGATAAAAACCTGCATGTGATCCGAGGCACTGTTTTATAGCATCTCGTGATAGAAAAATGAGCAGAACGAATGTTACGGAGGCTCTTCTGAAGGAGTTCGTTTTGACAGGCAATTATTTTGTTGGAAATAACCCCAGGTAAGCTAGAGGGAGATCAGTACGATGCGAGTCTTTAAAGAAGCGGTTAGATTACCAGACCTATGCAAATGTCTTCCACGAACAAATGCCCTGTTTATTGAAGTTTGTTTTTAAAGAGATAATGAGTTAAATATATACTAGCGTATAATTTGGAACAGCCATTTTGTATAACGTCTCGCCTTAGGACTTAGGTTTCGCCTATGGCACCCGTAGACTAACTTTCTTTGACTAAAAGCACGGTTGACGTTAGTGATCCCGTCAAGTGTTCACTGAACAAGCTGATAAGTCTAGAATTAATGCCTGTTCGGCATCTTCCAAATTGGACAATGAATATTTGTCAGCGCAAGCATTTGGAGCTTCCATAGACCTCTAACTGACAGAAACGGTCAGTTTTCTGATTGGTTCGTCACCCCTTGATTGCGCCGTGCATCTCACTTTGAGGAATGTGTCTTCCAATCTGCAGCCTGTTTGTCCATCTCGGTTGCACGGGAGAGTGACATCCTTAAGCACCCTGACCGCAGATGAGCATGGTGACCGCACAAGTCTAAGCAACAAACTTTAAACACCTTTTCCCCAAGGGGACATAAAATTTAAGACATTAAATAGACGTCCCTTAGTGCTAGACCTTTAATTTCCACGGAAATTAATGTGCGAACTTTAAAAATATTCCCCAAGATCAAACCTTCTTCCACCTGATTTGATATTTGGTATGAATGTCTGGGCTGAAATAGATCGGCTTGGGTGCACTGAGCACATGTTAATCAGATTCTGCCAATGGGAAGTCAATAGTGCGTAAATATCGATTAGTCCACCAGTAAATGGCGTATTCCAACTCAAATACTCATATTATTTTCGGATAGGACCTAAAACGTAATGTGTCCAGAAATAACTTTTAGTTCATGCATTAATGTCAGGGGGAGATTCACATAGTACAGCAGGTAAACTAACTTATGAAACGTCAACCAAAAGACGAAATGCGTTTTCGTTTCGAAAAGATTAATTAAGTAGATTTGTAAATCTGATAATCGTGCAGCAAAATTCTATAAGTCCTCAGTCGCCCCCTAAATGCTGGCATTCGAAAGAACTTTGTTTCAGCTGCATGGAGAGACTATACTCTGTGAAAAATGACTACTTAAGTAGCATGCACCTTTTTCCCTGATTTTCGATGCCCTTAAAAAGTCAATTATATTTCATGGAAAACACGCATAAAGATGTTCATTCCTTTGTCCACTCGGTAGATCCTTACGTCTTATTCCAATCTTATACTCGAAGGAAGGATATAATTCAGGTTTCAAGAACGTTTCCGATTCCCGGATAATTTTGAACCCGTATATTTTCCGTTTACGGAAAACCATACATTTCTCTATGGTATTAAGGGGTGATTATGGGGGGTTATTAAACCTTAACAGTGAAGTTAAGCAATATTGTTAACTTTACAAGCCCCATTGGTAAACGCAGAGACATGACGTTCTATAAACGGCCATTTCACGGTCTCAAAATATCTCACGATTAAAAACTTTTTAAAACCGAATCATACCCTTCTTTCGAGCATAAAATTAGAAGAAGGCGTAATTGTTTACCGAATGAGTAAAAATGAATATTTTATGCATGCTTTCTATGAAATATATTTGGAATTTTAAGGACATTGAAAATTAACGAGAAAACTGCGTGTTACTTAAGTTGTCCTTTTCACGGAGTATATTTTTTGCATGCAGCTGGAAAGGAGTTCATTCAAATGGCGGCATTTTGTGGCAGCTAAATTAATATAGAATTATGCTGCAGGACGATTTGCTTCACAACCTTACTTAATTATTCCTTTCGAACCGAAAACGCATTTTGAAATTTCGGTTAACATTTCGTGAGTTAGCCCACTTGCCGTACCTAGCAGACAGCCGGCTGGGGACGCTAGGGGTCCCACAGACGTTTGCACAATAACAGTAGACAATTGAAAACAAACTGTAAGAGAGAGAGAGAGGAATGCGCTTTATTTTGAAATCATATGTTCAAAATTTTTAGCAAAAAGTTGGCTCCATTCACTATGGGCAGTAAATAAGTTAATAGATTATTCAAGAGTCAAAGTTTAACACAAAGAAACGCTTATTATGGGGATATTTCAAGTCTTAGCTTCTGTATTTCTGTCTCTTCGCACGTAAGATAGCGCGCTAGGAATGGCAATACAGAAGCTCGATGAGCCGATGTGCGACAGGATATAAGACGGAAGTTGCGGCGCATCGGGCGGGAAGACTTGGCAGACATAAGATCGGAATGTAGGGGATGGGCAACGTCATCTAGAATTCGACCAGCAAATTGGTTGACCGCATTGAAGTGTCGTTGTAAGATTGTGTCAACTAAAAAAATATAATAAACGCCAGCAGCAGAAGAGAGCATACGGAGGATTCGTTTCAAAATTAAAAGATCCTTTTTTAAAGAAGCAGGAAAAACGACAGGATAACAGTATAGGATAAGAGGAAGAATGCAGGCATCAATGAATCGCCAGACTAAGGGTTGAGGTGTGTAAACGACGAATGTAGTAAAGAAGTTTACGAACTTTAATAAATAGGGACTCAATATGGAGGGAAAAAGAAAGATTTGAGGACAAAGTAACGCCGAGATACC